CAATCTACTTAACAAAATAAAGGCCAAAGCCAAAGATAAATATTATAACAAATATTTTCAGCTGTACAAAGAAAATCTGAAAGAAACATGGAAGCTTATTGGTGCGATCATTAAAAGGAAAACCAAAGTTCAATCAAATTACCCTTCAAGGATCATAAGAAATAGTAAGGTCTACACTAATGAACTTGACATTGCTAACCAATTTAATCAGCACTTCACTACAATTGGCCCTGATCTTGCTAGTGTAATTAATCCTACTTATGATAAACCCACTAAATATATATGTAATAGCCCCACAGATAGCTTCTACTTACCAGCAAAAACTGAAGAATATGTGACTCGGCTATTTTCAAATCTAAATGAAAGAAAGGCTTCATTAGGTATTCCTAATAAGTTCATAAAACTTGTTAGTTATGAATTATCTAAACCTTTCGCACACATTTACAATAAGTCAATCATACAAGGTATTGTACCTAATGTACTTAAAGTCTCAAGAGTAACTCCAATATTCAAATCTGGTGATGCAACAGATCCTGCAAATTATACACCCATAGCAGTTTTATCACCATTTAGTACAATCATAGAAAAAATTGTTAATAATCAACTCACCTCATTTCTAGACAAATACAATACCTTGGTTAAATACCAGTTTGGGTTTTAGAAAAGACTATTCCACTGAGCTTGCTATTTTAGAAATAACTGACACTCTTAAAACCTCAAGAGAACTGATGACAATCTCATAACATGCAGGGTCTTTCTAGATTTCTCCAAAGCCTCTGATACTGTCAACCACGAGATACTGCTAAGGAAATTACATAAATGGAACACGTGGGAAAGCTTTAGATTGGTTCACAAGTTACCTTACTAATAGAACTCAATATGTGAAACTAGGTAATGTTGAGTATCTCCAGATTGTTTGTGGAGTTCCTCAGGGATCAAACCTTGGACCACTATTATTTCTTCTTTACATGAATGATCTTGCCAACTCTTCAGATATGCCTTCCTTTTGACTTTTTGCTGATGATGCTAGAATTTTCTACGCCACTAAAACATCATAAGATCTTGAGGCAGTTATGAACTCAGAACTTCAGAAAGTAATTAACTTCTGTAACTTCAGTAAACTGTCCATTAAAGTGGAGAAAACAAATTTTATGATCTTAACTTCTCCACAGAAGCCAACTATACACAATATTAATATTTCAAACATTGATCGCAAAGCTAGTACCAAATATTTAGGCATTTATTATTTAGATGAGCATTTGGGCTGGAAACTCAAATAGCCCATGTACAAAGCAAACTGACTAAAAAACCTTGGAATCTTCTATCAACTACGAAATTGCCTAAATTTAAAGATGCTAAGACAACTGTATTATGCACTTATTTACCTTTATCTTAATTATGGTGCAATGTGTCGGGGCAACACTTATCAGACTACTTTAAATAAGATCAGTAGTAAACAAAATTTATGCATCCAAAGTATCTTTTCTGCAAACAAATAGGACCCTCTTTCCCTTACTACCAAATCCTTGAAATTTGAAAATTTGAAATGTTGTTAGATTCAAAATCTGCTCACTCGCATTTAGTTTATATAACAATCCATCAACTGTTCCAGCAATTTTCCATAATTTTTTAATACCTATCACAGCTGTCCCCTCCTATAACAGCAGAAAATCCACCAAGCTTAATTTCCACTGACCACAAGTCAGAACTAACATAGGCAAAATTACTTTTAAGTACTCTGCTTCTGTTATATGGGAAACTGTAGATTTTCACGTAAAGCGACCAACTGCTTTGCATACATTGGCTATTTCTCCTTCTGTTAACGGAGATAGAGTTCTGTTTTATTTTGGAGATCCTGTGCTATCCTTTTATAGGGTGGTTTTCTTTCAAGTCTTTTCGACCGACTTTGAGCTCGTCCAGAAGAGGTTAGTCAAAAGTTGTTCGTAGCAATGATTCGTACGATGTTTCGTCGTTGACAGGCGACATTCCTTTTGCCAGTTAGCCCCTCTCGCATCTGGTTTTTTCTTACTGACGTGTATTAGTGAACACTGGTAATGAGGATCGCGGAAATTCATTATTTAAGTGATGTGCCCTTGATACTAATTCGTATGTTAACTGCCTTTAGTAATCGGCCTATGTTTTCGCTATTTAGGACTTCTTACTTTAGTTCGTTAAAGAACAAATGTTATTCTGGAAACTCTGAGATAGCCGTTTTGAGGGATGTTGTTTGGCAGTGCAATGTAATGTACAAACGACTCTATGAGTCAGTGGGGCTGATCCATGAAACGGCCTCTGTGGTGAAATGTCCACAGGCATTATTACGAAACGTGTCTATGATGGTTGATGGTTTTCACTTTTTTTTTTTTTTTTAATTGATCCAAGCAAATCCATTTTCTAGGTGAAAGATATATATCTTACTAGAAGCTCCGACGAAGGGCTAACGCTCGAAACGTCAGCTTTTAGAACCCTTACGGTGGCCAATTTACCATTTCAACTTTGTTGATATATTCAAATTATTATCTTACTAGACATTAATTTTTGTTGTGCATTATCGCAAAACTACAAATAACGAATAAAAATACTCAGCGATACTACACAACAAAACGTCTTTATAATGCAACACGCCAAATTGTTATTCAGTGCGGGCGAATTTCGCGGATATTTCTAGAGTACAAATACCGCGTGATATTTGTGCTTGTGTAGGGCGTTACTTGCACTCTGCGAAGCACA